TTCTTCTCATTCCACTCATTCAACAATCGTGTAGCGCATATATGTTCGTTGAATGAGTGGAATGAGAAGAAGCGACGAAAAACACTCAATCGCCAATCGTGTGTCCGATTTCTATTTATAGAAACAAATCGGTGAAGTGAGCTAAATCACAATGTATGTATTGTATACATCCAATTTTCACTCAATTCGCATCACTCTCACGCCAATACAAATTCTTAAACACTCAAATTGCAGTTTTTTTGGTGGATACTTATTTTTGAAATATACAATACATGAGATTCATTTTTTGTTTATCGTCATTTTAGCAACGGTTTGGTGTGTTTGGAACGTAACTGTAGAAGTCACTCGATGTCAAATGGAAAGATTCACAGTCCGTTTTGTGACAGTCTTTGTTTTTATTTCAAAATAAAAAAAAACACTTTCATCGTTTTAATCAGGACACAGCGTTATATAGTATAAGAAGTTATTCATTTGAATTGTGATATGAGTGTGTTCTCATTTTTTGTTTGTAACAAATTGTGCTTTGCTTGTAAAAGGAATTCTTGAGAATTATGTGTGAGTGTTTATATCAGAGTATGAAACAATTTGTTTGTCGTCATTTTTGGCTAACATTTGTTCCAATGATTTTGTTTGTTCGATGTTAAACGGATAAATTCACTGTTGGTTTTGAGATTGTCTCTGTTGTTATTTCAAAATAAGAAAGCATTCATAAAATTGACGGTGAATATTCCAACAAAATTTTCATCTGCGGAATATTGGAAAACATTTCATCATTTGAATCAGAATACAGAGTGACATCGTTGAGGTAAGAAGTGATTAATTTGAATTGTGATATAAGTGATTGTCATTTAAATTGTGATCTCATTTTATTCGTAATCTATGCTATTTTTGTTGCATTTTTTTTCTAAATTTGTGTCTATTTTTTATTTTCGAATAATTTAATCAGTTTTTTGAGAATGAACAGAAAAAGACATGGATGACGACGAGCTCGATGATAATCAACCAGAAGAAAGCAAATACGTTGTAATAAAATGTGGACTTCAAACAATCCTGCGACAACAACATGAACGGATTGAAAGAGTTGGAGAAGCTGTGAACAAAATGCTATTCGAGCGCAGTGTTCAAATGACAGAAGTGGAAGCATTGGCATCACTTTTTATTCTTTTAATTTTGAATGAAGCACTTGATAATGACGATCGTGCATTTTTGCAACCACATCCAAGCCTGTTCATTGCCGATTGTTTCAGAGCGGTATTAAACCAACACGTTAACAATATTAATAGTCAATATCGGATATTGCCCGAGTTTCGTTTCATGGTAGAAAGAAACAGTGAAGAACAGTTCCGTTGGCCAGATGATGAAAAGTTGGGAAATGGTTTGAGATATTTTTATAAACAATATATCACAAACATTCAAACCAATACCAACACATGGTGTGAAAAACGACTTGAGAATTTTTTTCGAATGCGTTGTTGGTATCGCAATCGATTCAACAATGGCTCAAGATTTGATAGCATCGACATCAGAAATGCCAAAGAGTTTTCATATCGATTTTAACAAATGGTGATAATGGTAATAATGTGGATCCACAACGCGTTGAAAAATTCAATATTTTAATGAGAGATTTGACTGAAATTGGATGGTCGGGAACAGTGAGTATGAAATTTTTCGCAAAATATCGTTGGTTTGAATCACTGTGGTTGTTCGGTCAAATGCAACGGCAAATAGAAGTGTATCACAGTCATGCCGAACAATCCGAACTTTCAAGAGCCAACAATCAATCGACCACCAAAAATAAGCAGTTTTGCTCTTGTACCATTATGCGACTACCATTTGAAAAACGTGCGATTGGACATTACGGACTTGTATAATAAAATTGTAAACAAGCTTGATTTGGCGCCTTCTTTTCTCAATACGCGGACCAACCGGATGAATAAGAGAAAAGTAGAGTACTACACCCAAACTGATCGATCAGGTCTATGGAATATGTTGTTCGATGTCGATAAAATAAATAAATTGGGCAAATCGAAACCATTCCATCATCAGATTTTGACCGATAGTGTTTCAATATCCATAATGTACAAGAAACCACAGCGACAACAACGACGGGGGCCGGAAAAACTCATTGGCAAGAAATACATCATTGGAATCGATCCGAATGAAAAATCGTGGTTAACTGTAGTGCGTCGCAACATTCAAAAAACACCTGATGAGCCGGCTGTTGAGGTAAGATATTTTGAAATGTAATTTGAAATGGTTTTGAATAGAAACTCATAGTTTTTTGTATCATTTTGCATTTTGAAGGAAAACATTATAATACCAAACCAGCGTTTTCATTGGGAAACTCAGCAGAAAAAACGAGACAAAGAAGCGAAAAAGTTGGCTGGATGGTTTGATATCGAAGAGAAGGAACATCTTAAAACATACCCATATCGTCCACCATCACCACGTAATTCAACATGGAAATCATACATTGAATATCGCATTAAAATGTTACGAAAAGGAATGGTAGCTTATGCGACGCGTGAATATGCACGACTGGATTTGAACCATCACATTCGCTCGACCAGAGTAAATGATCAAATCGCCGTGCGTGCGACAAACAACAAACCGTCGTTGGTTCAATTTGGTGCTTGGGCGATGAAACCCGATCGACCGTTTGGAATAAAAAAGCGTAAAAGATGTCCGGGATCGCGTAAGTTTCGTGTGAGCATTAAGAAACTTGGACATTCAGAAGTTGAAATGCAAGATGAATGGGGAACATCACAAACATGCGCGAATTGTCAGGAACGTTTTCCAAGGCACACAAAAGATGATCGATTTAAAGTGTGCTACGATTGTAGAGCGAAAAAGATTGATGGCCTGCCAGATTCAGTCGCTGGACTGCCAGATATCATTGTGTCAACGGTCAACAGACGTGTTTTGAGAAGAAAACGTGCAATTATTAAGCGACAAATTATCGATGGCAATCGTGAGGCTGTGAACGAAAAACTTCGGACTGGGCGTTTAATGTCAAAGGTTAAAGTTACCTACAAAAATTGGCCATTAAATGTTGATGATGATGATGTTGTTCCACAAACAGTTACTTGGCACCGAGATATTGTTGCAGCAAAATGCATTATGCTCAAAGGTATGAATCAATTGCAAACAGAATATTCATTATTTAATGTATTTGCTTTAAATTACATAGGACTTTGCCGGATCTTTGATGTACCATTGCCAGTTTCATTGTTAAGACCGCCGGACTAAAACAACAATGTCAACTAACAAACATCATCAATTAATCATACATTCAAAAAATTACATAAAATAAAATATTTTAACTATTATAGTTAGCTTAGCTAGACATGAACAGACTATATAAAGTCTTGTGGTCTAGTTGTACAATAGTACAACATTGTACGGAGGGGGAGTGCCCGTAGGTGAGTAAAGTTTTTAATTTAAAAAAAGTATTTTATACCCAGTTCAACTGATACTAATGGTTGTCTTTCCCTTTTTCCATGTTTTCACACCTGAATGTTCCACCATGCCAAACCTATGGAAATGACTGAAACTACACACGAATCTAACCCCGAAATCGACCGTCAATATGTGCTTCATAATGGATGCATTTGCCCTATCAATTGTTTGCTGAGTAGAATAGCTCTCGAAGAAAAGACATAAAATTTATTTATTTTTTTTTACTTTATTGACAAATATAAGACTTGAATACAATTTACATAATGTGTTTGTAGTAATCTATTGAAAATACATCAAAACTGAAATAAAGTAAAAAGGTAATCTTTTCTTTTCTAATCTAAAAAGATTTTTTTACCTTAAGATTATTACATTCTATTTAAAGAAAAATCTTGTCCATTTTAAGGGTAAATCGACATGAAACAATCAAATGCAATTTTTTTACTATTGCAAGAGATTGCTCGACAATACACTATGTCTATAAAATACTTTAATACGAATTAGTGATAGTAAGAAAATCGAATTTGTATACGACTTCATCATAATACTTTGTATGAAAAGAGAATATGAAATATGAACCAAACTTAAATGGTAAAGTAATGTCTAAATAGTGAATCAATTTACAAATGGATGAGTTTCAGTCCATTATTTATGAATGAATTCTCTTTTCGTTAAATGAGTGGGTGATTTTTATTAAATAGATTTTGTTTCACGATTATCTGCATTATGAGATAAATGTCTATTGTCGATTGCTAGAGTATCACTCGCAATCGATAATTGTTCGTGTTAATCCAAAATGACGGCATCGTCATCGTCAATGATTTCATTGATCTCGGTCTGTTGATTTTCAATGCGTATTCGCTTCGCTGATGGTGCACTACCATTTAGAGTGATTCTTTTTGTAGCATAGTCAGGTAGTAGTTTTATCAGTTGTTCTTCAAAGAATTTTTCCAAATATTTCGCATTTTTGTAAATCTTCGAATCCTCCTAAAGAAATAACAATTTTTGTGAGTTAATTCTTTCAATTACATTTTTTGATCTTAATTCCATCTTACCCGATAGAACAAATAAACATTGCTGAAAAGTAGCCGCACGTCATCAATAAAGGATGTAACATCACGATAGCGATCAGGATTAATCGGATCCAACTTGCTGCGAATAATATCTAGTGTAATTGCGCTACAAACAGAAATAAGATGACATTAGAGTTAAAATGATGCAAATGAAATGAAAGACTCGTTCCAATAGTACGCAAGTGGACGAAATGACAATATTTTATACATGCTTCAAAAAAAAAATTATCAATTCGGTTAGTATAACATTAATAGAGCTATAAAGAAAAACAAATGTTAAATGTTATTTAATTGTCTTTATAAGATTATTTAGTCTCATATGAGTCAATATCTTATAGAAGTTCAAAGATGTTAAGTAGTAATGTCTGATGATAAGGTTAATGGGTGGAGATAGTTGTGCTTATTTTTACTATTTGTATATACATACTTTTTGATAATCTCGTAGTATGCTGTATTTGATTCGGGTTCTAAATCCCGAAACATGGAACTATGATCATTTTGACAATACAATTCAAGTAGAATACGTTGTATTCGTTTATGTTCAGCGGGACTAACGCCTGCCGTTCGTTTATCACCAATAACCGGCTCTGTAATATTACAATTGATTTTATATGACGTATTTTCATCAACTCTAACGGTTATTGTATACGGTTTTGATCGTTCACCTAATGGCATATCGTTGAAATTGTAACATAACATGCATTGCCACGGTTCGTTTTCGTCGGGGAACGGATTGATAATCGGGATGTGACAATGTTGATGGAATACTTTTGGACATTTGTCACAGCACATAAGTTCGCCACCATCTGAACAAACCGCGCACCAATCCTCATTTGGATCATCTTTGCTGAGTAATTTTTCGCCTGCAAAAGAAAAACATTGAAATTATTATTTGACATTTGCCGACATTCAGTAAATAAGTGTTCAACAAAACGTTTCTTGCCTATAGTCTTACCATCAGTTGGAAGTACACAGTCACTTGAACTGACTTGGGGTGATGTTGTTTTGCCACGTTGACCCTCGGGTAGTACTTGAACTCCGTTTGAATCCAACTTGGCAATTGTTGCCATTAAATCATTTATGTTATCAGCACCAATCTTATCCAATGTGTCGTTGTAATCTTTTGAGCTCTGGAAAACCAAATAAAAATATTAAATTTCCAACCCTTGGCATACACTCCAATTGAATGTCGACTTTTCTACTCTACTCAATGTTCTACTTTCGATAACTAAGATACGATTTTTTTCACAGCGTCATATAGAAGTGGGTTTTTCTAAATCTTTTTTTTTTTGTTTTTTTTTTTTAAGTAGTAGCATGCAATAGAGATGATACTTCCAAATTCATGCATTTGGATTTTTCTATATTTGAATGTTTTTTTTAGTTGATCTTACGTCATTCGTGATTGGGCTAGGAGTTTTCGGCACTGTCGACGTCACCGTTGATGGTACTGGTATTGTCGTTTGGCTTTGTAATGGTGGTGGTGGCGGCGTTGGTTGTTGTGGTTGCTTCAGCGTATTTTGTGGTTTTAGTGAGATTTTGAAAGAGTTTTCATTTAAACGACCATTCGTACAAAATTGCATTGCCAATGGATTCTGGCTTTGTTGATTATTAGTAGCTGTCCCTGTTATTGATTAAAAAAAATTATATGAATGAATAGAGATTTCTTGTAACCTTTATGTGTTTTGCATACCATTTGACGATCGACCTGATTGTGGTATATGCCAAGACGATCCAGATGATGTACAATTTGCAACCGGATTTAATACGGGCGGGGGTGGATTACTGGGCGGAAAATTCATTTGTTGCCCAAGAAATAAATCGTTCTGCAAAAAATAAAAAATACCAATTGAAGTAAACACGAAATGGATATGATATCATTGTATGACTTACATTTTGCATAAGTGGACGTTGGTTGATTTGGTTTGCCAGCGTTGGCATACTTTGTTGTGAATAACCGGGAGGCATTGCTGAGCGATTTTGTTGTGCTTGTATCATTGGGTGTTTATTCATTTGTAGGCGAATATCTTGCATTTGGTGTTGTTGCTGATGCTGCTGCTGCTGCTGTTGTTGTTGTTGCTGTTGCTGCTGCTGTTGTTGTTGTTGTTGTTGTTGTCGTCTTTGGGCGAGTTGTTGGGCAAGCTGTTGTGCACTGTTCAAATTGCTGTTGTTCATATTGTTGTTAAAATGTCCCATTTGCATGCCCTGTGCCGGTAATCCTTGTTGCGGCATTTGTTGACCAAACAACGGATTAAAATCGGTTGCCATTTGTCCAACTGATGCATTTGGTCCTCCTTGGGTTAAGAGACCGCGTAAGCTTAGTTCTGATTTTCATTTCAATTTATAACAATATGGTTTTTTTTTGGTTTGGTTTCAAAGTGTTGTGTTTAGTAGTTTACGGAAATGGTAATTGATTCAAGAATTGTATTAGTATACAGAAAAAAGCTAGTTAACAGGTAATTAACTTAAGATGGCATATAAAAACATAGCATAGAAAAATGAAAAGAGAATTGAGAGTTTTTCTTTATATTCATAACTTACCCATATTTTGGGGATGCGTTGATGAGCTCACATGAGGTGTCATTTGACGAAATTGTGCCGGCCTTGGTCCCATATTTGGAAAACGTCCTAATTTCAGACAAGAAAACAAACATTTAATCAAAAAAAAATGAACAGTAATAAATAGCATTGCCAAAATGTTTACCATAACCAGGAACATCCTGGCCTGGGAATGACCGTGACATATTGCAAGCTTGTTGCTGTTGTTGGGACGGTAGTGGTGGCTGCTGTTGCTGTTGTTGTTGCGGAAAGTTCGGTTGTTGTTGCTGCTGCTGCTGCTGTTGTTGTTGTTGTTGTTGTTGCTGTTGTTGTTGCATGGGCGGAGTATTTGCGCTGTATAAATTATTACGCATATTTATACCCGAAATTTGAGGTGAACGAGAAGGTGGCGGCATATTAGAGCGATGTGCAGGCATTGGTTGTTGCATTTGCGTTTGTGCACCACCAATTAGTGCTGAATTCAGTGGTGCTTGAATTGGATTAACATTTGATGGTGATGGTGGTTGTGCCAACTGGTTGTGTGATGGTGGCTGTAATGGTTGACGCGCAGCATTCGGAACTGGTGACACAACCGATGGATACTGTTTTCCATCGACAATGATTGTGCCCAGCTTTTGTATCACTTGTTGCAATTCTTGCACTTGGTTCATTTGAACTTGAATTCGAACGGGAATTTCGGGATTTGGAATGTCGGCCCGTTGACTTTTCACTTTTTGTAAGTGTGAAGTTAATGTTTTTTTGCTGAATAAAACCGCACTGTCACTCCCTTTGTCCAATGCAAATTTTACAAAACCAATACAATGATCCGTATGATTCGATAATGATTGCAATGCTTCTTTTTTTTCATTTAATACTTTCAATTTGCCATCACATACTTCACTCAAACGCGTTACAAGTTGCTTTCCTCGCATATTCACCGTATTCGTTATGCGAACAACCATATTTGTGATTTCGGTGACCAATTCCTTTTTCTTATCAGCTATTAATTTTTGACGCTCATCAATTACCTATGAATTTTGGAAAAACCTCATGACTCATCGGAAATGGAATTTAACAAAATTCAAGTATTTACCGTCATTGCGCTGTTCAACAGAACACGCTTATATGTGATTTCATTTAATAAGACATCTAGCGCGGTACGTGTATCTGTTGCAATTTCGTTGGCGAATTTATATTTGTGATCTCTGTGGTCGACTAATTGGCAATCGCGACACGTTAATCTGTCACAAGTTTCACAGAAAAGTGACAATTTTTCCTGAAAAACGGAAACAATAATGAAATTTGGAAATGATTTAACATTTGTGCAGATAACAAAAAATCTTCAATGGTTACCTGTGGATGAACGTGACACATGAGCATTTTTTCATCATTCGTCGTCGTTTGATTATCGATTAATGCTTCCTCTTTCGTTTTAATTGTGTGATCCTTTGTTATTTTCAAGCGTTGATGCGCCTGAACACAACTATCGCAAATGTACTCAGCACATTCGACACACCATGATGTAGCCGGTGCATCATCGGTGCAACTACTGCATTTTATTGTCTATAAATTAAAATTCGTCAAGATTTTTGAATTTTGCACTTTGAAATTTGGAATAAAATAAAAAAGAAATGATTTAATTTACCTTTGCATCGACATCGGACGATGCTTGTGTTTCTTCAGAATTTGCTTCTAACAATTCAATTAAAAATTGATCCAGTATAACAGCATCTTTGTGGGTACGTGTTTTACATTCCTGAAAAGAATTATTTAATATTAGATCAAATTATTATAAATCTTACATTGAATGATAATTTTATAGCTGAG